CAACGATTCGCATCAACAACATCGCATCAACAACATTTCGGGTGTGTGTACCAAAACAAAAGCAACACATATTCACGGGGGGCGCACGACCCAGCCTACTGCAGGTACTTTCCGCAGCACGGGTTATGCTGTTGTGATGGTGCGCGCGGAAAAAACTCCCCCCACTCGGGGTCTAGTATTGCTTTTACATCCATTTATTTTTTGGGCGGTAACCATACTGGTGGTCGAGTAGATCATGTTGTGCGGGGTGGAGAACCCTCACTCCGCGCAAGGGGGATGATCGCACCACGTTGTGTTAAAATGGTCAAGCACCCTCGAGGCAGTTACACAGTGCTTACAACTGTCTCTGGAAGTGAAAGCACCAGAAAATAAATTAAGTCATACGCAGCTGTCATCCGTACGCAAGGAAGTAAGCACAAGATGCCGAAAACCCTTAGCAGGATGCAGCGCACCCTTCATGCGACTCGCCGAATATCTCACGGCGCTTCGCGCTTGGTGATGTGAGAGCCTGGTCCGGTGAGAACCCGGCGTGCTCCGTCCCGGCTTTGTAGGGATGCGAGGTCAATGGTCTAACGACTACGGCATGCACGACTATGAGTACATCCCCCCCCCTCGCTACGGGTCATGCCTACGCAAAACCTTCACGAGGCAGCGAGGGGAAGAAGAAGTGTACAAACCACTCGGAAAAAGAAAACAAAATCATAGAAAGAAAAGAGCAGCTACCGCACCGACCGTTCGAGAAAAAAGCCCTCGGAAATCGATCACAATACAACAAAAACAAAAATAAAGGAGGACGCTTCCCACACCCACCCGCCTAAAGAAATCATCAAAGGGTAACGTACCAGCACCATGCACTACGCACCAGGGCATGGGAGTAACGGAGCAAACAGGACAAAGAGGCGGCAGATGGGCAGACAGCCAGACGTACAAAAACAAAGGCAACAGCAAAGCGAGATCAAGGTACCCAACACAGCAGAGTAGGCAGGGAGGTCATGAAAAAAAGAAACACAGCACAGAGGCCGAAGGCAATACAAAGGACATAGATAAAGGAGTATAGCATACAGGAGGGAGGGAAACAGGGCGCAGTAACATCAGCCGGGTACATAGACCGGTCGCCCCGGTGCTCAAGTGGGTAACCTCGAACTCTGCTAAGGGCCAGGTCACGGGTTCGAGTCCTGGCAGTGTGAGTATTTTATCTCTAAATAAATCCTGGTCTAGGATGAAAGCGACGCGCTGCAAAGAAAGCTCGTTAGTAAACCATAATCGACTTCGTAAGTCGCGAGGGAAGGGATTGCTGTACCCTTCTCGCG